ACTGGGAGAGGCATGGGAGCAAGGTCAGCCAATGAAGAGGCATGGCAACTAAGTCAGTCAATGGGAGCTAAAACAGATCCGAGTCTGTGCAGAGAATTGAAACAGAAACTGAAGATAGCAGTCTGCTGCTCTGAGAAGTAAACTAGCAGCCTGTCTGGGTTTGTCTGCTGAAATGGAACTAACTGCTTGTGTTTCTCTCCTGTAGCTCTCCTGCCTTGTGTTTACTCAGAAGAACCACCTGTTGGTATTGTACATTTATTCACCTATTCTTATGTATATAAAGAAGTTAGTGAATCCTGCTGCATCAGTTATCTGTGTCTGCTTTCTGGATTTGAATTTATCCCACAAACTCTGACACAGTTCCCACACCATAGAGTCTCCTCCTAGAGCAGCCTCCTTTTTCCTCTACCTGTCCTAACTGAAAGCCCTATCAAGTGTGTAGCTGACTTGAAGCTGCAGCAGAGGGATGAAAGAGCCACATGCGGCTCCAGAGCCACACAGGTTGCTGACCTCTGGTCTAGACCAACCTCTTACTCTGTGCAGAAAAATCAAATATCTAATTTATGCAGATGCTGCTAAGGAAAATCGCCTCTTACCAAGTTCTGTGGCACGGTCCCACAGGTATAGTCACACACGCAGCGGTCATCTTCCACATCCTCGTCCCAAGAACCGCCGTACTTCCGGCAGCTGTCTCTCTCGCACTCGATGGCATCTCCGGAACCAGACCCATCACCCGAGCCGCACTCTGCACGAGAGAAGAACACCAGGGTTGCGTATCCCCTCTACCAAAGTTGAGATAGTCCAACCCTTGCTAGGAAAAAAAGTCAAGTTTCTAGACCTGATGATCAACATTTTGGGGGGACTCTCCGGTTTGGGTTCCATTCCTGGCAGCTACAGAGATGCATCTCGGTAGATGCCCCACAGAAACTACAAAAGTGTCTTTAATGAACTTGCAGGCCAAACATTTACAGAATCTGGAGGAGGAAAAAAAAGGCCTTTTATGAAGTAAATGTCCATCCTTCTCTTTCTATTTCAGTATGATATCTCAGGTGTGGCTTTCTTGGTAACAGTGTGGAAGGAAACATTGGCTTTTTCTGGCGTGACTTCTTGGTCTCGAAACATTTCTGGGGTTTTGTGTTGGTTTCTCTCCTCCAGAGATTAACCAGGGAGGGAGGGAGGGAGAGAAGAGAGGGAAGGGAGAGAAAAGAAAGAAAGAAGAGAAGAAAGAAGGGAGTTAGAAGGAAAGGAAGGAGGAAGGGAAGGTGAAGAAAGGAATAGACAGGGAGGAAGGAAAAGAGGGAGGGAAGAGGAGAGAACAGAAAGGAAGGAGAGAAGGAAGGAGAGAAACCAAGAAAGAAGAGAGAAAAGGAAGGGAGGGAGGGAGGATAGGAAAGGCGGTGGAGGGAGGGAAGGAACAGGAAGGAAAAGAGGGAGGGAAAAGGAGAGAGCGGAAAGTAGGGAGGAAGGGAGAGAAGAGAAAGGAAGGAGAGAAGGAAGGAGAGAAAAGGAAGGGAGGGAGGCTAGAAAGAAAGGAAGGGGGAGGGAGGGAAGGAAGGAAGACAAGGAGGAAGGAAAAGAGGGAGAGAAGAGAAAGGGAGAGAGGGGAAAGGAGGGAGGGAGGAAGAGAAGAGAAAGGAAGGAAGAGGAGAGAAAAGGAAAGGAGGGAGAATGGATAGAAGGAAAGGAAGGAAAGAAGGGAGGGAAGAAAGAGGGAGGGAAGGAAGGAAGGAAGACAGGGAGGAAGGAAAAGAAGGAAAGAAGAGAAAGGGAGAGAGGGGAAAGGAGGGAGGGAGGAAGAGAAGAGAAAGGAAGGAAGAGGAAAGAAAAGGAAGGGAGAATGGATAGAAGGAAAGGAAGGAAAGAAGGGAGGAAGGAAAAGAGAGAGAGAAGAGAAAGGGAGAGAGGGGAAAGGAGGGAGGGAGGAAGAGGTGAGAAAGGAAAGAAGAGGAGAGAAAAAGAAGGAAGGGAAAATGGATAGAAGGAAAGGAAGGAAAGAAGGGAGGGAGGGAAGGAAGACAGGGAGGAAGGAAAAGAGGGAGGGAAGAGAAGGGGAATTAGTGGGGAAAGGAGGGAGGAAGGGAGAGAAGAGAAAGGAAAGGAAGGGGAGAAGTGAAGAAAGAAGAGAGAAAAGGGAGGTAGGGAGAACAGAAGGAAAGGAAGATGGAGGGAGGAAGAAAGGGAGGAGGAGGGGAGAGGAAGGAAAGAAGGAAGAAAGGAGAGAGAAGGGAGGCACGGAGAACACTGCCAGCCTCCCTTCCTCTCACCTCCTCCAATGCTCTGAAGTGTGAAATTAAAGCACTGAAAAGCTCTCCTTGTGGAGCCCTATTACCAGCCATCGCCTTTCATTACTGGCAGCTAAAGAGACAATGGGAAGGAAGAAGCAAAGGGGCTGGGATGGAAAGCGTAGGGGAGGGGAGGGGAAGGAGACGGCCCCAGACACAGCAGGGAAGAAGGGAGGCAGAGACTGCTTCCCTCCCCCCCTCGTCTCAGCTCCTTCATGCAAGTCCTCATGTACCGCCCCACCTCCCCCTTCCCCAATGCTTGCCAATTCAGGTCAGGGGCTAGGAATCCGTGATGCGCCATTTGAACCCAGGACAAGGGAGACGAGTTTTGACTTGCCCATCTCCTGCCGACACAAAGCACACCCCTTCCAAGGCTTTGCCACATCGATTAGCAAGTTTGATTATCTTTGCCCCCCTCCCCAAACAACCAGGCCCTAGACGTCTCATCTACACCGAGGTGGCGCAGTGGTTAAATGCAGCACTGCAGGCTACTTCAGCTGACTGCAGTTCTGCAGTTCGGCTGTTCAAATCTCACCGGCTCANTTCTCTTCTCTTCTAAAGCAAGGCCGAAGGTCAGGATGCCAATTCTGGCACAGAGCCCTTGGAATGGTCGGCACCTCATTTGGGAGCAGGCCTCTACTCATGGGTAGGAGCCTCGGTGTAAACCCCCGAGGACCAGCGTAGTCCAGGCTTCGGTGCAGTTCTACGCCAAGGGAGCATCTGAACTGCACCGTTTTACGTACTCAAAAAGTCTGACCGCCATCCGAGCTGGCGCCTTAAAGAATTTTTCGGGGAGAAAAAAAAAAAATTATTTCTTGCAAGGTTCGAGGCTCCAATTTAGGTTAAGCCTAGCAAGTCAATAAGCAGGTTTGGATGGCATCCTAGAGAATTCTGCCCTGCGATCTGTTGGCATCAGAGGAAAAAAGATAAAATAAAAATAAAATAAAAGCAGCCTTCATTCCCATCGCCCTGGTTCGGAGAACACATCTGCCGGCATCCAGGATGTCATACATGCGCGGAGTTCCTGCGCTTTCCACTTTCCCGTCCATAAAATATGCAAATGCATGCCAGGGAAATTAATGAGAAACAGGAAAGGGAAAGAAAAAAAAAAGAACCCCAGAGGGCAGAGAAGCATTAAAGACACAACAGAGAATTTAACTCAGCTTTTGCAAAAGCTTCGCAGCTCCAGAATATCAGAAAATGTTTTTGGAAAACATCAAATCCAGGAATTCTGGGAGTTGTAGTCCACAATCTTAAAGTTGGACACCTCTAGTCTAGAGCAGGGGTCAGCAACCTTAAACGAAGAGCCACAAAGTTCCTAACCGGAAGCCCCCTGTTCAATTCTGGAGCCGGACGGAAGTTCCAGTTTGTTAAAAATGTTCATAACTGGGAGAGACATGGGAACAAGGTCAGCCAATGAAGAGGCATAGCAACTAAGTCAGCCAAATGGGAGCTAAAACAGATCCGAGTCTGTGCAGAGAATTGAAACAGAAACTGAAGATAGCAGTCTGCTGCTCTGAGAAGTAAACTAGCAGCCTGTCTGGGTTTGTCTGCTGAAATGGAACTAACTGCTTGTGTTTCTCTCCTGTAGCTCTCCNAGAGGGCTGAAAGCCCTATGAAGCGGTATATAAGTCTAACTGCTATTGCTATTGCTAATTGGGAGAGCAGAGATGCATAACCAAAGCCTTCAGAAATTATCAAAAGATTTCCAAAAGTTGTTTCCAATTTAATTTTAATTTTCAACGTGGGGGGAAAAAAAAGAGAGTAAATTCCCCCTTTTGGAAATTAATGTAGCTTGTCTACCAGAAAGCACTGAGCATCTCTACATCTTAAGATATAACAGGGAAATTAAAAATATTTGTGCCATATAATCCCACAGGAAAAATCAAAAATATTTGTGCCAGCTTTACACCCTTGGAGAGGCAGGAAATATAATCACCAATGTTTGACGCTGATGGATGGGCCAACGGTAAAAAAAACAGAACTGGACCTGATAGGCATCTTATTTAAGAAATGGGTTAGAACTTAATTTATGTCGACAACATTCAAGAAAGAGGCTGGGACATACAAACATATGTAGTGGGATTGTGATAGTGCACAAAAAATATGGGACACAAATGAATCGCTGCAGTTGTGAGGTTAGCGACACGGTTTGTTAAGCAAATCTGCCTTCCCCATTGACTTTGCTTGATCCGAACGTCACAAAAGGGGATCGCGGGACACACACACCCCCGCCGGGACACTGCAACCCATCATAAATATGAATCGGTTCAGCAGGCAGCCAAATTTTGATCATGTGATCATGGGGATATTGCAACGGTTTTGTGAAAAATGGCCATTAAGTCGCTGTTTTCAGTGCTGTTGGAACTTCGAACCGCCGCTAAATGAATGGTTGGTAAGCCAAGGACTGTCTGTGACAAAGGGACCAGCGTTGAGACAGCTGAGCACGGAGGACTCACCGTCTTCGCACGGGCCCCTCTTCTCGACCTCCACTTCTTCCTTCTGCTGGCAAGCCGCCAGGCGCAGTTCGCACTCGTTGTTGTACGTGATGCCATTGCTGCCACAGACGCGGGACAAGGGCTGCTGCTCACAACGGGGGCAGAGGCACTGCCCGTCCACACACTTTGCCCCGAAGGAACACACTGTGGCCCCACACGCTTCTGCGGAGAGAGAGAGAGAGCGGGAGAGGAGGAAGAGTAGAAGCCCAGGAAGTTATTTCCGTACAATATTTGTAACTTGGTGTTGAACTGTGGAGGGTCCTTGGTGCTCTCTGAGTTATGTCGTTTTCTTGCAGACGTTTCGTCACAAAACTAGGTAACCTCGTCAGCGCGGGGCACGATAGTGTGCCTAGAGTGTGCACTAAGGTATGCTAATATAGAGCCGTGGTGGCACGGTGGTTAGAAGACAGTACTGCAGGTTAACTCACTGCTCACTCCAGGAGTTCGATCCTGACCTGCTTGAGGTTGACTCAGCCTTCCATCCTTCCAAGATGGGTTAAATGAGGATCCAGATTGTTGGGGGCAAGAGACTGACTCTGTAAATCACTTAGAGAAAGCACTGTAAAGCATTATATAAGTTTAAGGGCTATTCTATTCCATTCCATTCCATTGAGTTCTGTTCTGTTCCGTTTGA